TTTAAGTCAATATTTTACATATTTTTACTTGACAATTACAATGATTTTTGATCTACATTGATTATGATAAAAGGAACACCTTTGCACATTTTATTTGGGAGAGTTTCTTTGCTATGTTGCAACTGCTTTGTACATTCTGACAGGAGTAAAGCTTACACTAAAGAACAAAAACAAGGTTCAGAGTAAAGACTAAAGACTGTTACATCTTCACCTTTGGTTAACTAGTTTGGTCATTTTAAACATCTGTGTGATTATACAGTGAATATATTTAATGTTTTTCATTCCAGCTATTTGTAGAATCATTTCATTCCACCTTCTATTATAGAACCAGCAAATACTTTAAAATCGATAAGGAAATTACGTAATGCAAAATTTGAACTAATGTTCTTAGTTATGTTTGAGTGAAGATAGTTACTGTTTAATGATGCCTAAAAGAATAGTAATTTGAAAATAAACCAAAAGAAGGAAGCATTTATTTTGCAATTAGGACATTTTCTCTAGATTCCATTATTTATTATTATTTATTTAAGTATACTTGTAAACTTGAAATTTTAGCTTTGTTCTGTGTACTCTCATCATCTGACGTGGCCTCTACTGCCAGGCAAAAAATACAATAGAAAATATTTAGATCTTTTCCCTACAAAAGCAAGCTACCTGATATACTTAAGGAGAGAACGTCACAAAAAAAGTACACAATAATCACATAAAGCAAAATTATTTTGCTTTATAATAAAATTATTATAAAGCAAAAGTATTGAAAATGGTCCTGAATTCTTTAACTTTTATACAGTCTATTTTATTGTATGTATATAATTTAAAAATTAAAAGCTTTTTATGTTAGGAGAACATTACAGTTGTATTGTATTTATTTTTATTGTACATGTGTATTGTACATTATTCATATTGTATAGCACATTAATCTAACTTGCATAAAAGTACTGGTCTAGCCAGTCTATAGATCTGTCATTGTTTATTCAGTTCTTTGGGATACATCCCAAGCAGTATGCAAAAATCTGTTTTAACAATTTCATATGAGATAGGAGAGGGAGTTAATATGTTCAGGGAAATTAAAGACTAAAGGAATGAGGAGAAGTGAATCTGTCACTGTCTTGAAAGTGTGCACTTGATAAAGCATCAATGACATATACTGTATAGAGAGAGGCTTTCCCTCATTATCCACCTGAGTACAATAATAAACTAATTCAAAAAAGAAAATTCAGACGAAGAAAAAGACAAATATACTGTTTAGTAAAAAGGAGTTACAGCACTCCACTTCTGCATAGAGCCCACTTTTTCCATCCAGGGATATGGTGATAACATGACTAATAAAACAAGGCTTTTTCATTTTTAAAAGGTCAGCATCATCAGCAAAAGGTTGTAGATTTATCTGATATATCTGGATTGAAGGAGAAGTGTTCAGAATATGATTATATTACTCCTATGACTTTGATTTAAATGTTTTTTCTCTTTTCCTTTTTAATTAACATGTAGTGAGAATTGGGATTTGTGCAAAATAGGAAAAGATTTCCTAAATGCTGAGAGGCAGAAAAAAAGAAAATGAATTCATCAGCTTCTGGTGTCTTGTGTGCACTTAGCCCTGCGGATTGGCACTCTGAAGGCGTTGAAGGTTTTTTTAAAACTTTTTTCAGCACCCTGTCCTTCACCTTTAAGTATAGATATGGTGCTTTGCAATTCCATTGCACTGTTAATTCCTCACCTTTGTGAAAGAGAAAAGACAAGGTCAGTCTATGTGAAGAAGGTCACAATGCAATCAAATGTAGTGACATTTTCTTTGTTAAGAGCTACCGGGTTTTGAAGGAAATGAAAAAGCTCCTGTTGTAGGACATGGCAGTTCTGCATTAGCAGGTGTGCGCCAATCTGCCTGCTACTGGTGCAGATGAAGCAATGCCTGCACTTTAAAGATTACCGGATGGGGCTCAGCTTTCATTTTCCAGGCACACCAGAGTCTTGAGATAATGACCATTGCTAATTATATGTTTTGACAACACATGATTTACACTAGATTGCTTGAAATAAACTGTGCCATTGCTACAGAATTTTGTATTGGGGACATAAAGATGGAAGTTACTGTATTTGTGAATGTAGGTTTGTCGCTGAAAGCATGTAAAAACTAGTTGTTATGGCACAGCTGTGCACAGGAGAGAGCAGCAGTTGTTGCAGGTTACAACCCAAGTGCTAGGGCTTGGGGAGCTTCAGGGGTTTCTGGGAGAACCCGAAGGAGGAGAGGTGGGAGCTCGCTGGAGGCAAATGAGAGCATGATGAGAAGATGGGAGGCTGACTGGTAACAGACTGATGTGGACTGAAGTTCAGGACAGCAGGATCTGGGATTAACAATCCTAGTCTAGTTGCTAATACATCCAGTGGGATATGTGCAGAGAGCTGTACTGTACTTCCTCTGGTAGCTCAATAACAGAGCACTTACTCAGTGGCCTTTTGGGATTAAATAGAGAATTAGATATGTATTAATTGGATGATTAGGTGCCTGATTGGCAGGGGAAGGGCAGACTGAAAGGAATCCTGACTGGGTCCAGAGCCACATGGTGACCAAGATCACTTGTGAGAATACCACGGTCTCCCGGGAAACAGTGGGCTGCAAACCGCTGCCAGTTTGGGACTGACACTAGTATTGTAGGCTTCACAGTGCTCCTTTGAGAGTTGCTGCAAATGTAGCTCCTTGCAAATGTTGGTACAATGTATATGTTCTGTTGGGTGAGATATCCCTTGTTATGACTGGGCCCCTGGCAGGATTACAAACCTAATAATCTGAGAATAGCATTAAAGCTTCACTATGTTTGATCTAGTGTCTCAGTCATAGGCAGTGTGGTTTATATGTAACAGCACCCCCCAGAAGCCAGTCTCTTTCAATGAAGTATCATACATGCAATGATGAACAAAGGGACTGGTTATTCTCTATAGCCCCACAATAACTAAGGATAACTTTCTGCTGCAGTGAGCTGCTGCACTCAAACTCAAGGCCCATGCCAGTAGAACAGTAGCAACTTAATACAAAATCCTGTGGAAGACATTATAATCGTCAGCCATCTATCTCCAGAACACCTCAAAAGTTTTCCTTGCGTTATTTTTTTATTTCATGTCTCATTACTGCTTATTTCTCCTCACCTTAAAAAATGTGGAGCTACTGATAAAAGAACAAAAACATTTTAGCCCCATTTTTTATTAACATGATGAGAAAACCTATGGAGGCCATTGTTACAAAAATAATTTGCACTTCAGTTAAGTGTGATGTAAGAAAACAGTATTCCACATAGGGGACAACACATTATTTAACAACAATATCTGCCTTTAATCCCAGAGCTTCACTCAGAGTGATACAGGCGCAGACTGACACATAGTGAAACATAGCGATGAATTGGAGCTCTCTGGCAAGTCATCTCCCAAATGTATGCACATTTTGCAGGCATATACTGTTTCCATTCTTACATTCATGTAGCCAGTACCCCCCTTTCTTCCCCCCAGACTGCATTAATCTATATATCATGCACAAAGATCTCATACTAATGAGAATGAATTTTGTTGGTCAAAATGTAAACATCTATACACAAAGAGGTCTGTTGATCAAAGGTTCTCAAAAAGCACATATGACAATATTAACAGTCAAAGAAACACTTATATATTTTTCTTGTGCCTTAGTGTTTTTCTCCAAATGATATGGATTCCTACTGTAGCAATGATCAAAGACAATTTTAATTAATTAGCACCATTAAGTTATTCCCCATACCTGTATTTGAGAGTGGCATAGTGGCACAGTGGGTAGCATTGCTGCAGCACAAGGATCCTGGGTCCATTTCCGGACCTAGGGTGCTGTCTGCTTGGGGATTTTATGTTCCCCTCATGTTCACATGAGTTTCTTCTGGGTGCTCTCCTGTGACTGTGAATTGCGTGAAGTGGTTAGAAAATAGATGGATGTGCATTTGATGGACTGTCTCCCTTCCATTCTGTATGTTGCCCTGTGCCTATTGTCCACCATGTTAGACTCTGGCTCACCATGTGCCTGTGATTGGACTAAGGAGTTACTGGAAATGAATGGCTACTGTATATACCACCCTTTCACAAATATTACACAATACACTTATAGGAGTCCAGTCCATCTCTTACAGCAAATACAGGTGCAAAATGTTCCAGCATTGATTCTTCTAGATGTACACGGATGCCCATGATCACCATGGGCATCTGTGAACATCTAGCAGAATCAATACAGGATTACTCAGACAACAGCAGTGAATGCAGCTCTGCATGTAACAGGGGGCATTTCCTGATGGAAATAGCTAAAGAAGTGTTAAACCTGATCATAGTATTTTCAATCAAAGCTTTTCATAAATGTAGCTAAGGCAGAAGTATCACCCTCTTGCAGCAGTGATTGTGGGAGGTGGGAGGATTTTTAAAAGAGTCTATTAATCTTTATGGGGATAGAATGGGGGAGCTGCATCAATGTACAAGCTGCAAAAGAACAAATAGAGGTTAATTCCGCTGTGAAAAATAAAAAAAAGACACATAGTTAAAGGAAACTCTACAGCCGAAAACTTTTTTCTTCTTCTTTTTTTAATTTTAATTGTGAATGCAACTATCATTTCAAAATAAATAATCCTGAAACACTAAGTGTATACACTTTATTATACCTGTAGATGATTGCTATATAAGAAGATGTCTTGGGATGTTATACATTGGGGAAAATACAAGTAGACCTACCCTAGAAGCTGAAACACAGCTTGAATGGTCTTTTAAGAGCCACAGAACATCTGTTCACTATGGATTTGCTGTATATTTTCCCTTGCTTGTTCAAGGTAGCACTAAAGCCAAGTTAATGATCCCCTTTTTTCTAATAATTGCTGACCCAGTGACTGCTTTGATAAAAATATGTACCTCTATGTAATTCCTCTGTAATGTAAGTAAAATAAACCCCTGAAGAAGTTTTCATCACCGAATGATAAGTAATTGCTTGTCTTCTGATTTCTTTACAGCTACAGAAAAAAAATATATCCTGGATACTGTTGCTGTTTCTTTTTATCACTGGCACTGAACTCAGAGAGGTAGGTTAAGTATATTGTTTTACAAAAAAGCAAAATAGTTAACCAAACATTGATTACCAGTAAACTGACTCAGACACTCTTAATATAAGTTAACCCTGTGTCACCATTTCTGAAACATTTTTTAAAATTCTGTTTTTCAAATTAAAGAAGCTAGAATATTCATTAAATTGCTGGTTCAAAATGGTTTATGTTGTCAGCGTAGAACATTAAAAAAGTCATAGAAAATATTGAATTCAGGTACATTATAAGGTAATGTATTCATGATATGATATGTCAGATTTTAATATCTAGTTTTTATGTATTAACATCTCTTAAACAAATTATATTGGTTATGTGGGGCATCAGGGTGCAAATCTAATCAAGAAATTACTGTACACATTGCAATCATGACAGCTGGCAAACCTAAAAATAAAAAAGAGTGTCAACTATCCGAGAGTAAGGATTTTGATTTTGTTTTCTGCGTTGTCGTTAATAATTATTTCTGTGCAAGCATAACTGCCTTATAGACCAAGCAGCATACTATCTGCTATGAATCTGTTTTCCTGTCCAGCTTTTTGATAAGAGCCTCCCCACCTGCTTTGCCACCCCAGAAATCAATATATTCTATGCGGTCTTCAAATAGTGATGCTTTTGATACAGTTGTTTCATGGATATTAAGTCAGGCATTAAACAATAGGCAGTACTGTATATCATTTAAGTCAAGGAGAAACATTCTGGACGTTCTTAATGAATTTCAGTTGGCTGTTACATTTTCTTATTGTCCCTTGAGTCACAAGACAGGTGGTGTCTTCAGTGCTGAAGATGATTTTCAATTTGGTTTTAACTAATAAGTTAACATATTTCCATTGCAATTACAGAAGTAATTCTAAATAGGTAACAGCTGATCCCAACTGGAAGATGACTGTTTTCTGCCTTCAAAAATAATTTCCTGGTGAGTTAACAAAAGTCTTGATTTAAATAGAATAAATTAGAAAACAACACCAATCAAGTATATTTCACTGGGGGATAACTCTGCTTATACAAAATCAGATTTCCTATCAGAAGCAAAATGCCAGAAAAGATATTATGCCAAATGACAATAGCATAATATCATTTCAAGGTTACACTACTGTTGTGTGTATAAAGAAGTGAAGTGGGAATCATAAACTTGTGTGGCGTTATATCAGTGTTCAATTTATCAGCTTATAACATTAACCAGTGTCAAGTCCCCATGAGAGTGACAGACAGCTGTGAAGCTTTAAGAAGGAAATTATATTGTCACGATTGTCATCCCTGCATTCTGCATTGGAAGACGGACGCCCAGAGGCCTGCCTAGCATCAAGTTGCCCTACTGTACATCCGCGGCTTGAAGGCATACAGTAGGCTTCCTAATGGCGTCCTGTTTTTAATCATTCTGTCTTGGATGAATTCCCTGGTTTTTGGATTTTGTCCTGCGCCCTGGATTTCCTAGAAGAGTAACATTCTATTGTAGTTTTTGCGTAAATGTTATTAACACGAAATAAAAAAATGAATGGCCACACTTTGGCTGCACATGGTCACTTGCAATACAAACACAATAAGAAGGCACTGTATTTTTTTTTGTATTTGTTTTTTACCAAGGCATTATCTATGTCAGCTTACTTAATAAAAATCTCTTTAAATACAATTATGTTTCTACATTATAAAGATCTATGTATACACCTGTAAACAAAATAAACTTTGCAAGACATAATACAGAAAGTAAGTAAAATATATCATTTGTAACTGCTATACTGTACATATTCAAACATATTGTTTTATAGTTATATACAATAATTTAAGAAAACTGAACAAAACATAAAATAATTGTAGTGGTTGCCATGTTAAACGCGTATTTGAAGTTATAAAAGGGCTGATTTTGGTCAAAAGCTTCTGAATAGCATTAGGGAGTGAAATACAGTGGAATGAACTAAACTCAAGAAGCTTCTTGTTCTTCCTCAGAAAAGCAATATCGCTACAGTATTTGACTTGGAGGTAAAGAAAAAAATATGAAGCGAGGCCAGTTGTTTGAAATGTTTTCATATTGATTTCTATAGGAAACATTTGAAACTCAACAGATATTGCACACTCTGTTGAATCAAGGCATCAAATTAACTTTGGTTTTAGATGATTGTATTTTTGTCTTTCTTTGTGGAACATGTATCTGTATGGCTGGTGTAATACAATGTCTTCTCAAACAGGCCTGAGGTATTTCCTATATAAAAGAATTAAAGAATGTTATGCTCTCAAATAGTTTTGGATAGAAAACAAAAAAGGGATCAAATGCAAAAAGACAGAAAAAAGTGTGGTGAGAAACGTTCAGGAACACTACTTAAGGGAGCTAATCACAAATAAACCATCTGCATATTTAAAGCAGTCTTTAAGTAGTCTTTATTGTGGATTAAAAACTTAGCAAAATTAAATCACAATTTTGGCCCTGTTGGGTCAGATAGGGGGTGGCACGTTGGTACAGTGGTAAGCATTGTTACCTCGCAGTGCTGGAGCTCTGGGCTCAGCACTGGACCTGGGGTGCTATCTGCGTTGAGTTTGTATACTCTGCCCATGTTTGAGTGTGTTTTTGTCAAGCACTCCTGTTTCCTCTCATAGTCCAAAGACATTCAGCACTGATATTCTATACTGTACATAAGTAGGTATGGGAATTGGCATTGTCGCGGGAGCCGGGTCAGACTCCCGTGAAGTGTGTAATAAAGACACTATGCGTGACGGTATAATCCGGAAGTGTCTGGAGAAGGACATCAGGGGAAGAAACAGCAGGGTTAGGATGGGTTGGCAGACAGGGGACAGTGACTGTAGCAATCTGATGCACGGGAAAAATGCCAAGGCAACCAAATCCAGGGAAGTCCAAAATGGGTAGTCGGGGCGCAGTCCGTTATCCAAGAGCCTGGAGATCCATCCAAGACGAAGACAATTAAAATCCACGAAAAGGGATGAAGGCCTAAGCCCTCAGGCTTCCTCCAAGCCTGGAGGTAGGCGGGCCTTCAGGCGTCCGTCTTCCAAAGCTGAGCCAGGAACTGCGATGACGCTAAGCTTTAAAACCAAAATACAAGCGAGACACACCGGGAAATAATAGAACCTAATCGATAACAGAAAAGAATAGGAGCGCCCTCTAGAGGAGGGATGTGGAATGTGACAGGCATCAGGGGAAAGTGGCTCTGATTTGACCGTGTGCATGACTGTTTCTGTGTCAATGTGTGCCTGCAATGGATTGGCATCCTGTCCAGGATGTATCTCGCCCATTGTCCATCACTTGCTAGGATAGGCTCCAGATTCCCCACAATCCTCAGTTGGATAAAGTATTTAGAAGATGGATCAATTTGTTTGGGAATAAAACAATTACAAACTGAGCGATTATGTAAATAATATCCCTCCACAGACATATATCTAAGAGCATAGAAGAAAGGAGAATGCAAATATGTAATCTATAAGCTTTTAGAAGTTTATAAAAGTTGTCTTCATTTTAATGTTCATCATGTGGTGTATGATGCCTATGGAAGGAAACACTATTCTTGATGTCATTGTTCAACATTGCATGTCTCATACAACATACTGTTTACAACATACTTCAGTTTGAATTGTAGGTTATGATCCATCTGTTTGAAATTGCATGCAAGAAAAACAATCTATTAAGATTATTCTGTATAGAACTTAAAATATTTAATTCCTAGCCCTTATGTTACTCAATGTTCAGTATCCCTATTTTAAATTGAATGTTATAGATTGAACCATTACAGTACCCTCCCTACCTTGATTTTTTTAATTGTGTGTTTAATTACATTCTTTTTATGTTAAAGAAATGTCTTTCCCTAGTTAGCTCTATTGCAAAGTGCTGTTGGCATGTAAGGAAATAAGCTATAAGAAAAACTGCTATAAAATATATCTTCAGAGACACACACCAATTACTGTCACTTTCTTGTTTCGTTCTTTGATTCCTCCCCCAAAGATATGCAGTAGTTTCTGAGGTAGTTATGAAACCTAAAAAGGAGAAACACATAAAGGGCATTATTATGGTAGCAAAAATGTAATGCATCTAGCAGCTTTTTAAAATTGGATGTACATAAAAGAAGACCCAGCTTCATGTTTCTATCAAATGCCTAATTAACATCTTATTTGTTAAATAGAACGTTTAGCAGTAATGGTTATTGAAGAGGTATGGCAGTTCATCTATGGATATAACTCTTCAGGCTAAACTGGACTTCAGTGGTTTATTTTTTATAAAAACAATCAGATTTATTTTTCTTTATTATTACATATTTAATATTTCACTTTTTATGTCCAAAACCTCTTAAAATGGGGTTTAATTCAAGTCTTAGTTATTGTACGATTGCAAATAAGAAATCTTCAAATTAAGTATCCTCTGTATATTACTGCCACTAAATTAAATATTAAAAAGTTTACTTCATAGATTTTGGCAGAATATATGCAATACTATGTGTATTTTTGTAGTATTTCCATCATACTTTGATTCCCACAAGGCTTGATTTAATCATTTTATCTACTTTAGAAAATGTTTCTTATCTGATCTCCTCTTGAAGGTCTTGCATTTTTGCTAATGGAATAGGATTTATTTTACGGTTTATGTAATACATTATTACATTACATAATTAGTCATTATACTACAATAAATTGTACATATTCCAACCAGTTTTTTAAAGAAAACAATTGCTGCTGTCAAAGCATTTAGTGTTAGATCCTAAACATTTGTATTTAATTTAATCTGGTCTGTTTTTTAAAAGCAAATTGTTAGTTACAGTACCATAAAAAGCAACTTACCTCCAGTTATACTAAAGTGGTTTGTCATATTTGCATACTTAACTGATCTCACTTCTTTGAGATATCCATCAATGTAAAAATAATTAGACCATATATAAAGCTTACTTTGAACATAGTGTAGCTAATGATTTAACTGACTGCACAATAGTAACTTCTAACATCGTATCAAAGGTGTTTTGCAGAGAACTGCACCTTTGATAAAGTAAAAGTTT